AAAAGGGCATATAACTATAGTGGTTGATATAGGAATCATACTATTTCATCTACCCACTAATTTTATTGTAGAGTGTTCACATTTTTTAGAACTTTTGTTTTAAAAACTAAAATGTATAAATTTTCCATGGAAAAATAAAGAAAACAACCGGTTGCATGTGTCACAAATGACCCAAAGCTTGAACCCACAATGCAATGCCAGGCCGGCCCATATACCTTGTCAAAATCCTGCAACACATAATAAATGTATGATTACTTCTGCAGTTCTGTTAACAATACAAAATAAAGAAGATAATCATAGAAAAAAAAAGTTTATGAAGCTTTTATCAATAATCACATAATTTAGGTATAATCGAAATCAACATATTGTGATATCATATCAAATGAAATTAAAATGACTGCTTTGTTTTAAAAAAAAAAATCAATACGTTTCTACTTTCTCGTATGGCTGTTTAGAAAATATCACCATAAAACACAAGTAGCAATTAATTTTATAACATATAACTTCTATTTATAGATGAAATATAGATATATAAATAGATATATTTCATTTAACTTTATACATTTTTTTTTAATTTCAATAATGCTATTATATCTAATAATAATATCTTTTCAACATGATATTTTGTTAAAACGGATTACGTAATTCGTATAATCCTTAATTCTAAAAAACTTTTAAAAAATATTATCCCGAAATCTGATATCAAAATCATACATCAAGTAATATAATTGTTTATATATTTAGTATAATAGTGACATTTGTCGGTGTCATCTCCTCTCTAATAAATGAATGTTTTTTTTTTGCCACTTGTCACATTTTCATTCAATTTGTCAAATGTCATTTTATGGTTATTTTGAATTTTTTTTCCACATGTTATTTTATGAGTTTTTCTATTTTATTAAATTTCACATAATATTTTAATATAATAATTGCAATAAATATAGTAATAAATTGATATCAATTTCATTAATAAACTTACCTTTTAATTTCGAAATTCTCAAAATTAAAACTCATTAGTTTCTTTTATTTATTTAAATTATTTGTTTAAATTTAAAAGATAAAATACATTTCTATTATATTATAATTCATTACTTTTCTTATTTTTTTATAAGTTCAAAGTTCTTAAATATTTTGATCTTTATATTTAATTTTTTTTTTTAAATTAACCAGGTAATATATGAATCTTACAACTAGTATATATTAATGCAAGTCCTATTTGATGCTCAAATGTGGTACAAATTTGATAGCCTACAAAATTATTAATTTTGATTACAATAATAATTAGAATTTTTTTTAAGTGTATTAAATTTACAAAATTTAATTTTACAACTCAATACGCTTTTTCAACTATGAATATTAATTATGTGACACAAGGTTTAATAGATATGTAAGTTTTTTTCGAAAATGATTTTTTTTCCGAAAATGAAATTAATATATAAGTTCATTATTTATGGTTAAAATATGTACCAAATTGATTAAATTAACTGCCGTATTCCTTAATAACATCTTATTTAGTTTAAAAATAATATAATTTTTAATCCAATAATATTTTTACAATTTAATAGACAAGGATTTAATATATATA